GAGGAGAGGGAGGCAGCTTTGGTGCACTCTACTGGGAGCCAGCCGGGGAGAGAGTTGTGGATCAGTGTTCCTGGTGCGGTGTCAGCTCAGGTGCCCCTTCCAATGGACCCTGCTTCAGTCCACCTCCCCATAGCAACACCACTGCACAAACAGTCCTTCCACGTCTGGCCACTAAGCTCCTCCTCTCAATCAGCTCTGACCTGGCTGTGTGTCCTGCAGATAATGGCTCCTGTGTGCACTGCCATGTCCTGTGTCACTTTTGCCAGGGGGCAGCACCGCCCCTTTGAAAAATGCCACCCTAGGCAAATGCCTTGTTTGCCTCACGGTAAATACGCACCTAGATAAATAGCTGCTGGGCAGCTGATCTGCCCAGGATTCACTGTGTAGCCAACTGTCATTAGACAGCTAGGTACACAGAAACATTGCACCCATAGGATCCAAGGGGATGAATACCCTGTGATTGCTGTGATTGACCATCACAACGATCACAAAGTGCTGGTTACAGTGCTAACCTTTCCCCTTACAGCAGGAGAAGACGAGAGATTAAGTACTTGTGAATGGGTACAGAATGAATGGATCAGCAGCTGCAGATTCATTAATTATGTTTCAGTGACACATGGATAATTTTTATTAACCCTTTTTTTCTCTTTGGGTTGAACTGGATGGGCTTGTGTCTTTTTTTAAACCAGACGAACTATGAAACTCTGTAACTATATTTTATGTCCCCCTCCTTTGCTACACAGGCTAACTACATGCTGTCTGTATGTGACTTGTATAATAACCCATTCACCTCCCTTATCCTGCACATCTTCACTTCCATCCTGCCACTGTTTGTGACCTGTACATTAACCCCTTCATTTGTGTATGACCAGGTTATTAATGTATCTTGAGCATTATTCCCAAGGTCCACTTGTAACCATCTCAGTACCAGCATGTTTCTTCATTTCCAAGAAAAGTGACAAAAATTAAATCACCTTGGGATGTCAACTTTCCAAAAAAAGGTCATTTTGGGTGCTTTTGTACTATTCTGGCATTTTTATTTTAACAGAATGTAAGGGACACAATTTTTTTCAAACTTTTTGGTCTTTTTTTCTTTTTTTATAATGAAAGCTGTCTTTCAAAAAAAAAAAAATACAAAACTCATTTTGAGTACAGTGTTACATAATAGAGTAATTGTCAGTCAAACTATCGGAGCCCTGAAAACTGAAAAATAGCCTGGTAATGAAGGGGTATTACAGTTTGGTACTCAAGTGGTTAAAGCTGGCCATACACATGTTGTGGGTGGAAGAATCTTCCCTGTCAGGACTTTGTATTCTGACAGCGGTACCTGCAGAATACACTGATCACTGGCTGCCGCTACTGATTGACAAAAATTTCCATCATGTACTTTTAACAGAAGCCAATTAAATAAATAACTTATGCAGGGTAGGGGAGCCCACAAACTGATGAACCAGATAAATGTCAATCAGTGCATTGCCAGCATAATCTTGTGCTGAATTCACAGAATGCAATAAAGAATTTTGCCAAGCACCCCCATCATTTTATGTTCAATCCAGACCTCTGAACTTCTACTGCGATTATTAGCACTCAGTACATTATGATAATATAATAATATCTCATCCTTGTAATCCAATGATAGGCCATACAAGCATACAGTTTACAAACTTTCTTTAGACTCTTTTGGGGTGGTTCAAGAAGACTATTCCAGTGGTGTTGATTATAGTTTTAGGCCTTGTGCCCAATCCATGAAACTCATGCTAAAAATTCATTGTTGGAACGAACATGTGTAACAATTATTTCTTATTTGTGACACTTTTTGGCCAGACAACTGAAGAAATAGTGCCATATTGGCAATAAGGAAACTGAAATAAATATGACCTCATCTATTGTTTCACACATGCAAGTAGTGTGTCACACCTTTGAGCCAATCCTGAGACAAATTTGTATAAATTTAAACCAAAACATATATGAATCTGTGCCATTTGTCACACTCTATAAAGAGACATATTTCTAATGAGTTTCTAAAACAGTCTTTATGAATTTCACAGTTTATTGCCTAGCCTTAGATTTATTTTTTGTTAAGGACATTTATTCTATGTAATCTTTGTATAAGCAGCCCCTGCACCCATGACTGACTAAATACCTGACCAGTGACTGCATCTGATTGGATACAGACACTGTTTGAATGAGACTTTTCCACTTGGTTGGGTCAAATTTTTTAACCCCTTTGCAACTGTACCTCCCGACCCTTTAAGGGGTTTGTGATGCCAGGAGGCAGAGTTGGGTTTAGGGTTAAGTGACCGCCATGATTGGCTGTCACAGCGGTCACATGATCGTAAAGCTTTTTCCATGAGGTGCCGGTAAATGTGCCGGGAGCGCGCAGGGCGTGTGCTTTGGGCACATGTTTGTTTACATTGGACTGGGTTTGCTTTGAAGCCAAAAGGGCGCATATTTGCGTACCGTTGGCGCCAAGGAATTAATCAGCCTTTATCAAGCCAGGTGGTGCCGAAAAGCTAGTAGGCATCAGCTGAAATTTGAGATATGTATAGCCAGGAAAATTGGGCTTTTTAAGAGAGAGAATGCTTTTTTAATAACAAAAAGTGAAGATTTTTTGAAAAGTTCTACTATTTGTGTATTATGTTGCACAGCAGGCATTTATTCATGCAGATGTAAGAGATAATGGTAGGTCCACATTGGAGTTTCTTCAGAGGTAGATTGACATAGTTACAAAAGTATTTTAAATGGAATTTACATTGTTTTTAGTAAGGTAAATTAGAATTTTTTCACATGAATTTTTCAACTTTCTTTTTTTTTTTCAATTTTAACAGCCTGAACTGCCTAGGTAATTTGGTCTCCTACTATTCATTGTCTATTCACAAAACAGACATACTGTAGCTGAATAAGTGTAGGGTAATAGTCCTATTCCTCTTTTTAGGTCATAAATAGTCAAAATATGACCAGACAATGCTGGACTTTCTAATCAGAAAGCCCAGTATGCTCAGAAAAGTAAATTTCACTGAGTCGTCCTGTGATAAGATATTATTTGTAAGATAAAAAAACTTTACAGTAAAGTCATCTTTACTCGAAAGTAAGATATTTATCTTTAAAGTAAGATCAGTTTGTAAATGTGTGGATAAAAAAAATATACACTATAAGTAAAAACAAATTCACATAAAATAAAGTTGCCATTTCAATAACTTTTTTTTTTTTTTTTAGAAAAAAGATACAGTATTTTACTAAGGTCCCTTTTCACACAGTCCGATCAGGTCCACCTGTCAGTTTTTCAGGCAGACCCAATCGGACCATCCATAAAACTCTATTGTCCAGCGAATGTCAGTGGACAAGTATCTTCTGACACCAACCGACATCCGATCAGATCCTGTATTCCAAAAACAGATGGATAGGGATCCGTTCCCCATCCGTCCAACAGATCCAATCAGATGACAGTCGCATGAAAACAGACCACCTCTTAGAAGATAGCGGGCTGTGTCTGAAAAGGGCCTATCTGTTGTTCTTTGTTGTTACATTTTTATCCAATAAATACAATCAAATTATGCAATTTTGTCAAATTATATCATAGTATTGTTGACAGATAACAGTTTGAGCCACAATTACTTTTATTTATTTCCATAGCACTAACAAAGACAGAGAATATAAACGGTTTACATCAGTCCACATCGCCATCAGTAATGTCCCTACTACAGACCTAAAACTTAAAAATAAGTAATGGCTTGACTTTTAGAAGCTGATTTACCTGCCAGCATGTTTTTTGGGTTGTAGAAGGAAACTGGAGTACAATAAAACTAGGTAAACATGGTAAAACCTCACAGTGATAGGCAAGAAAGTTAGGCAAAATGATGCCTGACAATGTGGAAATCACTTACTTTTTTACATTTGTGTTACTGTTTCTCATTAATCAGCGGTGGACAAAAACCAAGTTCAATCAGCTTTACTTTTGCCCTCCATAGCAGAAACTGCATGGAGGTGGGATCACCCAAGGTAGGTCTCTGAGGAGGTCATTCTTTTAAAAGAGCATTATGGTATACAGTTTATGGGATTCTGATAGGCATGGCAGTAACTAGTTAAGTTATTAAACTACTGATCAAATCGCACTGCACAAACTGATTTTTGTAGCAACCAATCCAACAATAAAAAAGCAGAAACATATTTATGTTCCTATGTCTGTTGAAGACATTTCACAGCATGCTGTGTCTTCAGTCATACTCAGAAAAGGGAATGATGATATAAATTCACATGGGGTGAACAGAAAGTCACAGGATCTGGGAACATTTGTAATTTTGGGTTCCCACCAGGGCATAATCAGTTTGAGGATGGACAGACTTCATTATTATCTACAAGATATACCTATTAATCACCAGCCTCAACAAAACAACAAAACAAACAATAAACATTTTTTTTTTAATTATTTTCCTTTGGAAAAACACATTAAAGGTTTGCCAAGACACATTTTCCTAAAATGCGTAATAAAAAATAAAAACTATATGTAGGTGATGGAATATATGCTATTGCTTACCTTAAGTGGCTTTTCAGCACAAGCCAATGTGTTCCATGCTGTCATAAATACAGTGAAGGTACGTGTGTGGTCGAGATTCTACGTGTAGAAATGAGATTGCTGTTTCTCAGAAAGCCACATACAGCTCTATGCATCCAGCAGATCCACAGATTACTCATTAACTGGTGTCTACTTTGTATAAACAGATTTGGAATTCTCTGAAAGAATACGGTACTGGGCTAGATGCCAAAATGAAGGCTGTATATTTACCAGTTCTGCCGCTTACTCTTTTAAACGTTTTATCACCAACATTTGTGTTTTAACACTAACAGAATGGACAGCTTCTCTTCCTGATTAAATCAGCTTACATACTTCTGCAACATAACAAGAAGTAAACTAAAAAAATTGGGACACCCCTCCAAATCATTGGATTCAGGTGTTCCAATCACCTTCATGGCCACAGATGTATAAAATCAAGCACCTAGGCATGCAGACTGCTCTTATAAACATTTGTGAAAGAATGGGTCACTTGCAGGAGCTCAGTGAATTCAAGAATGGTGCCATGATAGGTTGTCACCTGTGCAATAAGTCCATCCGTGAAATTTCCTTGCTACTAAATACTACATGGTCAACTGTTAGTGGTATTATAACCAGCAACAGCAACTCAGCCACAAAGTGGTAGGCCACGTAAAATGACAGAGCGGGGTCAGCACATGCTGAAGTGCACAGTGCTCAGAATTTGCCAACTGTCTGCAGAGTCAAGAGCTAAAGACCTCTAACTTTGTGTGGGCTTCAGATTAGCACAACAGTGCATAGAGAGCTTCATGGAATGGGTTTCCATGGCCAAGCAGCTGCATCCAGGTCTTACATCACCAAGTGCAATGCAAAGTGTCAGATGCAATGGTGTAAAGAACAATGCCACTAGACCCTAGAGCAGTGGAGACGTGTTCTCTGGAGTAACAAATCACACTTCTCTGACAATCCAATGGATGTGTTTGGGTTTGCTAGGAGAATGGTACTTAAGTGAAAAAATGCTGCGCTACATGAAACAATGGCATAATCCTTACATAACAAAAAACAAAGTGAAAAAATAAAATATATATAAAAGATAAAATAGTTGAAAAAATACATTATTAATATTGAAATAAAAAAAAATAAAATATATATATATATATATATATATATATATATATATATATATAAAACCAAAAAACCAATATATATATAAAAAACAAAAACCAAACAAAAAATTAAAAATAATAATTTTTAAGTATGAATCAAACAAAAGTCAATCAATAAAGTGTTCTTCAGTGAACCCTCCTTTGGATATCGAATGGATCATCTGTCATAAATTCCCATGCAAAGACATTCTCCGCCATATATCTGCTCACCTCACGCAGTGTGACCTCACATTATTGTCAGGGCAGGAGCTGAGGAACGGACAGGCAGGCCTAACAATGTAACGCACTGGCTGACGACAACCACCACCCACAGACCGAAGTCCCCCAGGGCACGGAGTCTAAGTCCCAGGCTGCCCTTCACCAGGGCCCCTGATGGTGGGGATGGACTTGACGCAGCCAGGAACCAGGTCGCGGCCCCCGAGACACCTCAGCTGCGGTAATGGCCGCCGCCAATGGCGTGTAGCTGGTGGAAGAAACAAAAGAGTAGTTAGACAAGCCGGGGTCAACAACAACAGGACAAAACAGTACAGGACAGCAGACGAGAATCACAGGTCACAAGCCGGGTTCAGCAACAGAGGGTCAGATCAAAGGAGAATACAGAGAATAGTCAAGTCACAAGCCGAATCAGAATACCAGGAGAGTCACGAGAGTCAGAACAGAGTAATAGTAACACAAAGACACAAGACACAAGTGCAAAGAGCATGTGCGGGCCACGGGCTTATATGTCATCAGCCACGCCCCTCTGGGGGGTGGACCTCAGAGACCTAAAGACATAAAAAGGATACCCATCATGCACAGCAGAATCCAAGATGGACGCCAGCACATGGAGTAACATAACCTCAGGGAAAAGGTAGGACCTTGACAATTATACAATGTTACGGTCTAACTGCACTTTTGGTCCCATGTGGACTCAGAAGATCAGCTTGCTGAATGAAGACTCCAAAGTAAGCGCACTCCTGATAAGCGTCTTTGTATCAGCCGTATTCCTCATTAAAAAGAACTCAACATAGTGATTTATCCTTTTTAAACTTTTATTCATCAATTAAACATAAGAAATATTCCCCTCCCTCCTAGATTGTAAGCTCCAAGGAGCAGGGCCCTCAAACCCCTCGTGTATCGCATTGTATTGTTATTGTACTGTCTCATGTATTGTCTCCCTTTGCAATTATCAGCACTGAGCTAAGTGTTGGCACTTTATAAATACTATATATAATAATAATAATAATAATAAATACAGTAACGTTCCGGAGGTGTATTTTGCACCAGGTATGATGAACATCCAGTGATGTACTGATTAGACACAAGATGGCAGTATTTCAGCAGCAGAGTCCTGTACATACTCAAAACAGACACCATATGTGTTGTAATGCAAGGCAAAGCACGGGCCCACTAAGTGAATGCTATTGCCTGCTATAATGTCATTCCAAGAGACGTTTACACAGTACTACAACTGCTGTTCCGATGAGTGGTAACGTCGTGACGTCATCCACACACTCCTCACCGACACGTTTCGTCACTACTCACATGACTTTATCAATGGGATATAATTGGACCGTCCGAGAATCATTCAATTTATATAGTAAACCAGCGCCATTTTGCTAGCACATGGTGGTAAAGCCGATCGGTGCCATTTTATTGAAGACCAAAAGAGAAACAGAAAAAATGCCAAAAAACAAACGCTGTTCATTGTAAAATAACAATTTTATTTTTTTCATTTTGTGTTTTTGTTATATAAGTATTGTGCCATTGTTTCATGAAGCACAGCATTTTTTCACTTCACAATATGATTGTATAATTTGCCCCACTGAGACATGGGTTGTGTGCACTAACGGCTACAGTATTACGTTTAATTTAAATTTTTTTTTTTGTTCTTATTTCACCATAGTTAGCGCTTGAGTTATTCAATTTATTTTAGGAACATGGTACTTGCCTGACTGCATTATGCTAAATATAAAGTTTGGTGGAGGGGGGATTATGGTGTGTTGTTTTTTTCAGGGGTTGGACTTGACCTCTTAGTTCAAGTGAAGGAAACTCTTAAGGTGTCAGCATACCAAGACATTTTGGACAATTTAATGCTCCCAACTTTGTGGGAACAATTTGGGGATGGACCCTTCCTGTTCCAACATGACTGCGCACCAGTGCACAAAGCAAGGTTCATAATACGTGGGTGAGCGAGTTTGGGGTGGAGGAACTTGACTAACCTGCACAAAGTCCGGACCTCAGCCCAATAGAACACCTTTGGGATGGATTAGAGTGGAAACTGCGAACCAGGCCTTCTTGTTGATCATCAATGCCTGACCTCACAAATGAGCTTCTGGAAGAATGGTCAAACATTCCACTATACACATTCCTAAACCTTGTGGACTTGTGGAAGAGTTGAAGCTGTTATAGCTGCAAAGGGTGGGCCAACTCAATACTGAGCCCTATGGACTAAGACTGGGACGCCATTAAAGTTCATGTGTGTGTAAAGGACGGGCGTCCCAATACTTTTGGCAATATACTGTATATATGTGTATATATATATATATATGTATGAATGTGTTTGTGTGTGTGTGTGTATATATATATATATATATATATATATATATATATATATATGACAATAAATTTGGATTTAGACTGGTGCCAGCATGTCAGGATCAATGAATCCCACGTATGCCTGGCCCAAATTTAAAAACATTCTTGTATAGGTGTTTTATGTATGATTTTAATGCACATACAGTATGTAGCTGGATCTGTGAGGGTTCTCATGTGTATTTTAAATATTTGTGATAAAATATGTGATTTTATGGGAAGCTGATAGATCTCATGATGTACCATTAAACTCTGATGTTGTAGAGCAACAACAATGTTTCCCTGTTTGAGGGTTGGCACCCAGTAGGAGCCAAGTAGAATATGCCAGCAAGGGACCTTATGAGCACTGTTGGAACAGAGATAAGTATTGCTGCCCTTAGTTCCGATTTAAAGTGTTACTAAACCTAGGACCCTGCATTCACTATATCTTGTCTTCCACATTACACATAACATGGGAATACATTTATTTTAGTACATATAAATTGCTAAATGTCTTTTCTCATCAGCAGTGTATAGCAGTCTTGTGACTTCTATGTGTCCAGCCACGCATTGGTTAATTTTATAGGAGGAGTTTTCATTCTGCTCTGACTGTCCTATAAGACTGCATAACCCCTGACCCTCTGTCTGGACAGTGCTGATTGGCCCAGTTCCGATTACATGCACCCTCCACAAAAAAAAATAATTCTCTAGAAATACACACCAAACTGAACATGTGCAAAGTGTCTCCTAGGGCTTTATAAAATGGCACATGGATTGGGGACTGTGGAAGAATAGGGAAGATCAGAGAAGACTAGATCAAACAGCCTTTTTACAGAATGTGGAGAATTAACCGCTTAGGTTCCACAGTGAGTATAACAAGCATGCATTCCTGCATTTACAGACTGATTTTACTGTTGTGTGTTTTAGTAACACTTTAAGATAATATTATAATTATTATTATTATACAGAATTTATGTAGCACCAACAGTTTGCACAGTGCTTGATTCATGTTCAGTGCCCTACTTCCACTTCCTTCCTGGTTGCAGTGACGTTACTTCTGGAGTGCCGTGATCCCCGGCCCACAAGCACTGGGCAGGTGCTTCAAGAAGAAATTTCCACCATCCAATTCCCACCCTGTGATTGATTACTCAAAGCAGAGAGGTCTCAACAAGGGTTCTGTGGAACCCTAGGAATCCTCTAGAGGTTGCTAGGAGTTGCTTGAGCTGCGGCTAGCTGACATTCAATTTGATGATGCCTGTACAGTTTCAGAACCAGCACCACTTTGCAGAGCCAGCTGCATGACACTTTTGATATTTTTAGCTGTCTAAAAAGATGGTATTCCCACTGACCACCAATGTAAGGGACATTTTTAGGCTTTGATCCCCAATAAACTGGTTTTAGCAGGTGTTCCCTGAGACCTAAAAATTATGTCCAGAGTTTCTTGTTTCCAGACCATTCTTTTCCAGAAAATGTGCTGATACGTTGGAAATGTACATTTAGTGTACTTTATAGTATGCATGTTATTTACGTGGAAAACTCTTCCTTGTGTAGACATCCAAAAGCCCTGAGATTACTGCTGCACACAAGCCATATGGATATGATATCAGCAATGCCAGCAGACAGACTAGCTGTGACACTCTATAATATTCCCCTTCACATCTACCATGGCAACTACAAAAATTATTATTGTAGGGAGGTGAAGGGAGGGGTGAAGGAGCAAGGCCAGTGCAGAGAGTAATTAGACACTCCCAGAAGAGGAGAGGGCTATCATATAGAAAAAGGGAGGGACTGTACTAGGGAACTAACTCTTCCTTAATGAGTAATTTCACCTACAAAGGGAAGTTCTACTTTAACTCCACCCCCCATTTTATCAAAGCCTTTTTCAACCAGGGTGCCTTCAAGTTTTTTCAGGGGTGCCTTGGCAAAATGCCCAAAAATTGTATATAAGCCAGTGGGAGGATCAAGCCTGCCTATTAGTTACACAAAATCACAGGTTTTCATGGTGCACCATTACATTTGCAATACTTTCTTGTACTCCAGAACATGCTCTTTTTTGTAATTTTGTTTGGTGTATTCTTATGATTTACCTGACTTGAATGTAGCTTCTAGCTCACCCAAAATATATTTATTATCAAGATTATCTATAGATCATCAACAGTTAGAGTGTACTGTTACATTTTTGGAGGTCTTA